TGTAACTTTGTGTATTGGGGGGGGTCACCCCATATAGTAATGTGTAATAATGGGGGTCACCATTGTGTGCTCAGACCTCTGTACTTCTGTACATGATCATGACTGGGTGGCCCCTCTGATCTCTACATATGTACTAAGGGGAGGTTGCAGTTAAGCAGGGTATAAGATGATATGTTCTGGAAGGGTGCTTTGGGAGGGCAGATAACTTGTTCTGGAGGGGTAACTGGATTTGAAATCCCCCACCAGAGCACCACCCCCCCAGTACATATTTGACCCATCCACCAACCAGCACAAGTCCTATCCCCTCCCAAAGCACTTCCTCAGTATGTATCTGACCTCCCAGCACAAGTCCACTTCCCTCCCAAAGTGCCCCCCCCCCAAGCACAAATCCACCCCCCACCTTCTAGCACATGTCCTCTATCCTCCAAAGACCCCCTAGCACATATTTGACCAACCAACCTGCCTTCTAGCACAAGTCCTCTCCCCTCCCAAAGCACCCCCCCCAGTATATATCTGTCCCCCACTCTACCCCACATTCTAGCACAAGTCCTCTACCCCTCACAGCAACCCCCCCCACAATATACCCAAAGGTTGGGTTTTGTTTAACCCCTCAAGCCCACCCCACTGTAAAGTCTGTCCACACACCACTTTTTGCATGCTTCGTGTGCTGCAGGCTTCTACCTCCCCCCAAGTGTCCCTCATTCTCAAGTTTGAAAGTTGGGAATTATGCATATGGTGGCTCAGACTTATCACCCTTTTATCACCCTTTGTGTGAATTACTGTATATTTGCACTGCTCACTATTTGGACTTTGAAAGTCTATATGGACAATTTATTTGTATATTTATGATTGCACATTTTTCTATTTATTCACATTTTTTGTTTGGAAAGTGAATTAAAGCGGGGTCAAACCCTTGAGGTTTTTTTCTTAACATTTTATTTTCTTTATTTGCTTTGTGTCTATGGAGGATCAGTGTTGTCAATTTAGGCTGGCGTACAAACACTTTTCCTCTCCTCATCTCTCTTACATAGAAGGGAGTTGTTTTATAGTGTCTAGAAGAGAACTGGGAAGGCTGATGACACTGTTAGAGATTTTCTGGGAGGATCAACTGATATTTCTGTATATTTGTACTTGCAACAAAAAGAAGCCTGGAAAAAACAAAAGGTGCAGCAGCCACATCTAACAGCTGCTAAGCTGCAATATTCTTTTTTTTCTCAATCTACAGTCAGTACCCCATAATGACAAAGGGAAAACAGAATTTTAGAATGTCTGTGAATATATTAAAAAGAAAAAAAAATGAAATATCATATTGGCATAAGTATTCAGTTCCTTTGCAACAACACTTGAAATTTATCTCAGATGCCTCCCATTTCTCGCTGAGAGTCCTTCAGGTGTTTTTTTGTAAACTCCAAGTGGGCTTTCATGTGTTTTGCACTGAGGAGAGGCTTCTGTCTAACCACTCTGCCATAAAGCCCAGAGCAGTGGAGGGCTGTAGTAATGGTTTTTCTTCTTGAACTTTGTCCCATCTCCACACAGGGTCTCTGGAGCTCAGTCAGAGTGACCATCGAGTTCTTGGTCACCTCTCTTAGTAAGGCCCTTCTCCTTAGTGCTCAGTATGGCTGGACAACCAGCTCCTGGTTCTGACAAACGTCTTCCATTTGAGAATTGTGGAGGCCACTGTGTGCTTGGGAACCTTCAGTGCAGCAGAATGTTTTTTTGCAGCCTTCCCCAGATCTGTGCCTTACAATAATCCTGTCTCTGAGCTTTGTAGGCAGTTCCTTTGATCTCATGGCTTTTGCTCTGATACAGTATGCATTGTCAGCTGTGAGGCCTTTTATAGAGATGTGTGCCTTTCCAAATCATGCCCAATTGAATTTAATTTAGCACAGGTGGATTCCAATCAAGCTGTAGAAACATCTCAGCAATAACCAAGAGAAATGGGACGGATCTGAGCTAAATTTCAAGTGTTGTTGCAAAGGGTCCGAATACTTAAAGTGATACTAAACCCAGGACCCTGCATTCACTGTATCTGGTTTCCTACAGTACACAGAACATGTAAATGCAATTATTTTAGTAAATATAAACTGCTAAATACCTTTTCTCATCAGCAGTTAGAGCAGTCTTGTGACTTCAGCAAAGCATTGGTTAAAGCTTGTAGGAGGAGTTTTCATTCTGCTCTAGGAGGATGTGAAACCCCTGACCCTCTGTCTGTACAGTGCTGATCACATGCACTCTCCCAAGAAAAAGAAACCCTCTCTAGCAATACACACCAAACTGAGCATGTGCATGTGACTACGGATTCAGTCTGTATCAGGTGGTCATTTCAACAGGGGCAGAGAAGAAAGGATAAAACAGTCTTTTTACACAATGCAAAGGATTAACCCCTTAGGTTCCATGGTGAGTATAACAAGCATGCTTTACTGCATATACAGACTGATTTTACTGTTGTGGGTTTAGTAACACTTTAATTGGTTTGTGTGAAAATTAGCGTCTATAAACTAACATATACTATACAGAGCTTTGAAAAAGTATTTATGCCCCTTGAAATTTTCCACATTTTGCCATGTTACAACCAGAAATTTAAATGTATTTTATTGGAATTTTATATGATAGGACAGCACAAAGTGGCACATAATTGTGAAGTGGAAGGAAAATGATAACTGATTTTCAAAGTTTTTTTTTTACAAATAAATATCTGAAAAGTGCAGCGTGCATTTGTATTCAGCCCTCTGTACTCTGATATCCCTAACTAAAATTTAGTGGAACCAATTGCCTTCAGAAGTAACCTAATTAGTAAATAGAGTCCATCTGTGTGTAATTAAATCTCAGTATAAATACAGCTGTTCTGTGAAGCCCTCAGAGATTTGTTAGAGAACATTAGTGAACAAACAGCATAATGAAGACCAAGGAACACATTAGGCAGGTCAGGGATAAAGTTGTGGAGAAGTTTAACTGCTTCCTGATGATCAGCAACTTATAGAGGGACTGTGATAGGGTGGTGGGCAATCTGGTGCTAACAGACATGTGCTGGGAGGGACACTAAATGACATTGATGTTGCTAGTGACATGAATACAGTAATCAGATGCAATACTGTACACTGTAATAACGAGGCTGACAGGGAAGGGCTTAATATCAAGGGGTTAACTGTGTGCCTAACAAGTGTAATGTGTGCTGCTTTTACTAACAGATTTGGCTGTTTTTTTCTCTCTGCTTTGCAGGGAGAATAACAGCCAGATTGCTGTTCTGTGTGTTTGTTGTGTGATTGGACACAGCTAATCACCAGGTGTCAGCCAAAATCACTGGCTGAAACCTGTTGACTGACGTCTGCTCTATCTAATCACAGCATGGGTTGGCAGGGGGCGCAACCCTCTGTGCTGAAAAACAAGCATTTCTTTGTGTTGGAGAATGCTGCCCAGTGCATCCCAATGCAAAATGTGTTCATGAGTCCATATACTTGCCTGTCCATCAGGTAACTTGTCAAATCTCTGTTTCTTTTCAGAGATATTGGGACACTGCTGTTCAACACTTTCAGGGGTCCTGGATAGCGTATCCCTTGCCAATCTCTGGTCTTGGGATTCCTTCATACGGGGCATACTTCAGTGTGAGGGAGGGGTTTGCCCTGCATTGTGCATCCCCATGCAGACAGTCCCATTCATGTCAATTGGGACACGGTGGTTGCACGGACACGGTGGTTGCACGGACACGGCTGCTGCTCCCAATTTTGACAGCTGTGCGGTTATTGGCTCATGACCCCAAATGCACACGGTCTGCATTAAGGGACCTGCACAGCTGTTAAACTGGGAGCAGCAGTTGTGTTTGTGGAGCCACTGACCATTGACATGAATGGGGATGCAGAACATATGACAAGACCATACAGGAGAAACCTTACCTAGTATGAAGGAGCACTTGACACACCAGGCAGTGTGGTGCTGAGATCTCTGGAAGGAATGAGCGATTGACTAAGCGATAACAGGTGCATTCATTGCCAGAACGATCATTTATTTGTGTGACTATTATTTGTAGGTCTCAATACAAGTGTTTGTGGAAAATAACATTTGTTATGACAAACAATCATTGCGTCTTAGTAAATTTAGACTTCAATAAGACGTCTAGTGGTAAGAGTACCATAAATCTCAGATTGTTCACTCGAATCCCTATGTGAGTGATCAGATTTAGCTTGTGAATACTAATCCGAACATCAGATTTCTTAGGCCTATACAATGCTTTCAGCAAACCTTGCATGGCTTTCTTGTAGCCATTGAAAGAAAGCTGCGCTGAAAGGAGTCCTAATGTCTGAGCCACTAGCCTAGAACAAGTTTGCAGATTTGGAGTCCTGAATTCACTTGCTACATGCTTTTTTAGGTCGGTGACTAAGAAAAGGCAGCGGCAACTAGTATTTTTAACCTCTTCCATTCTACATAGATGGCGGACGGGAAGCAGCACCAATGCAGGTTAACATTCCTGTACGTCAGCCCACATCGATGGCTCATGCACAGCTCACAGAGTGCGTACCCGGGAGCCCAGTGATTGGTGTGTTGTCTGTACACAGCAGATCTAATTACCGCTGTAATCGGGTGATCACGTGGTGTTTTACCATATGACTGCTGTGACCAATCACAGCACTCACATAGTAAACACTAGAAACTAAAAGTAAAGATTGGTTCTCTCTGCTCTCAGTGTGAGATCAGAAAGAAGCGATCCTGCAGTGTGTGAATATACAGCAACCTGTCAGGCACTTGTAAACCCATACACTGCAGTGCCAGCCACCCCACTGCCCCAGTGTCCCCGATCACTGCCCCTTAATGTCAATAATAAATAATGCAGGGAGGCCCTGTCACCTGTCCCGGTGCTCACAAAACACCCCCATACACAATACCAGTGTGCTGATCACTGCCATACACCAAACCAATGCCCTGATCACTGCCATGTGCTATAACAGCACCCTGATCACCGCCATACCCCATACCAGCATCCTGATCACCCCATATGCCATACTAGCATCATCCCCATATGCCATACTAGCATCCTGATCACCGCCATACCCCATACCCCACCAGCGTCCTGATCACCACCATACCCAATACCAGCATCCTGATCACCCCATATGCCATCCCAGCGTCCTGATCACCACCATACCCCATACCAGCGTCCTGATCACCCCATATGCCATACCAGCGTCCTGATCACCACCATACCCCATACCAGCGTCCTGATCACCACCATACCCAATACCAGCATCCTGATCACCCCATATGCCATCCCAGCGTCCTGATCACCACCATACCCCATACCAGCGTCCTGATCACCACCATACCCCATACTAGCTCCCTGATCATCTCCATACACCATACCTGTGCCCTGATCACTGTTATACACCATACCAGCATCCTGATCACTGCCATACCCCAAACCAACACCCTGATCACCTCCATACACCGTACCAATGCCCTGATCACCATTATACACCATACCAGCATCCTGATCACTGCCATACCAGCATCCTGATGACCTCCATGCCCAATACCAACATCCTGATCACCCCATATGCCATACAAACGTCCTGATCACCACCATACCCCATACCAGCATCCTGATCACTGCCATACCCCATACCAGCATTTTGTTCACCGCCATACCCTATACCAGCATTCTAATCACCACTATACTCCATACCAGCGTCCTGATCACCACCATACTCCATACCAACATTTTGTTCACCGCCATACCCCATACCAGCATCCTAATCACCACCATAGCCCTTACCAGCATCCTGATCACTGCCATATGCCATATCAGCGTCCGGCATTTTAGGATCTCAACCAATCAATTTTCAAATATATACCCCATAGTTTGTAGACTCTATAGCTTCACACAAACTAAATAATATAAACTGATTTACCTCCAAAATTTAGCACAATACATTTTGGCCTAAATTTATGAAGAAAAATGATCTATTTGCAAAGTTTTATAACAAAAACTAAGCAAAAAAAAAAAAAATTTTTTTTTGTATATTTTTGGTATTTTTTCATTTATATAGCAAAAAATAAAAACCCAGTGGTGATCGAGTACCACCAAAAGAAAGCTCCATCTGTGTCAAAAAAAGGATAGTTGCTCGACTGAGTAATTGTCACTCAAAGTTTGACAGTGCTGAAAGCTGAAATTTGGCCTGGACTGGAAGGGGGGTGAAAGTGTCCAGACTTGAAGTGGTTAAAAGGTCAGCAATGGCAGCTCAATTTTGTTTTTCAGCACCTATTTTCTTTCTAGTTTGTCACTAGAGCAATTTTTAAAATTGTTTTGCAACAGTTAGAAATCTGCATTTTTGGCTATAAATTTACTTTAAAACCCAGAATATTGCATATTTTCTGAAAGCCAGACGACTTGTAGAATAAAAAGATAATTGTTTAAATGTTTTATGTTGCATGATATTTATGCAATGCTCCTATATATGTTGTACCAGTTTATCTGCACCATCGCTTCTACAGATCATTCTAAATACACACAAATGAAAGGATTTTTTTCTCAGCTCCAGAAGTTGGGGACAGCTTAAATTCAACACTCTGAGGATAACTCTGAAAGCTGATTAGAGGGAAGGGACACACTCCTCCATACAACACACAGGAACAATGCAGATAAATCACAGGCTGTGTGCTGTAGCTCCTTCACATCACCTGTTTATCTCTTGGTGTTAAGAAATCTGTCAGAAATAAGTCATGCAGAAGGAGGCAGTTGAGAGAAATCACACTTGGTACTTTGGATAGAGACCACACAGTATAGAAGGATGTGCTTTTTTCATATTTCAAATCAGAGGTTTGCAACCACTTTAACTGTGAGCTCTGGTGGTAAAATGATTGCTCTCACTCTGATGTTTGCGGTGATACCTCACATAATTACATCATTAATAAGACTGAATAAAGACACTCTCCCATCCAGTTCTACCTGAGTGTGTTGGTGACTACAGTTTTCCATATCCCTGTACATTGTGTTTGCTAAGAAACACATCTAAAAGTTTTTTTTTTCTTGTTGACGCTCTCCACTGACACCAACTGTGGAAGGGAGTTCCACATCCTTTCCTTTCCAACAGCAAAGAACTCCTTACACAGTTTAAGACTGAACAGTCTGTCATCCAGCTTCATTGTGTGGCCGCTTGTCTTCATTAGAGTCTTAAAGTGTTACTAAACCCAGGACCCTGCATTCACTCTATCTGGTCTCCCACAGTACACAGAACATGGAAATGCTATTATTTTAGTAAATACAAACTGCTAAATACCTTTTCTCATCAGAAGTTAAAGCAGTCTTATGACTTATATCAGTGTCCAGCAGAGCACCGGTTACAGCTTGTAGGAGGAGTTATCATTCTCCTGTAGCAGGATGCAGGGCCTATGACCACTGTCTGGAGAGTGCTGATTGGCCCTGTGCTGATCACATGCACTCTCCTAAGAAAAAAAAAAAAACCTCTCTAGCAATACACACCAATCTGAGCATGTGCAGCACTGGAAGAAGGGGAGGATCAGAGAAGAGAGGATCAAACATCCTTTTTACACAAGGTGGAGGATTAACCCCTTAGGTTTCACAGTGTGTATAACAAGCATGCTTTACTGCATATACAGACTGATTTTACTGTTGTGGGTTTAGTAACACTCTAAGATTAAAAAGTTTCTTGCCAACCCTAGTTGCCTTTCTAGGATTTGTATATTACAATAATTTCTCCTGTTAAGCACCTCATCTCCAGGCAGGGTAAGTGTAATGTTGGTAAATCGTTCCTCATAACTGCGGTTCTCCAGCCCCCTTTATTAGGTTTGTTGCCCTTTTCTAGACTCCCTCCAGTTCAAGCAGATTGTTCTTGAGGATTGGCGACCAGAACTGGATAGCATACTCAAGATGCGGCCAAACCAGAGTTTTGTAAAGTGGTAGAATTATAGTTTTCATCTCACAAGTAAACATCCATTTTAATGGTTGATAGTTGCATGCTGTTGATGAGTCTGTTGTCTACTAAGACCCGCCCCAGATCATCCTTTTCAATCCGGCCCCCCCGCCGGCTCCAGAGGTTCTCCCTTTAGCATTTACCTTGTATGCATATTTCTAGTTCCAAGTGCATTATTTTCCTACATTGAACCTTGTATGCCACAAAGCTGCCCACCCCTCTATTTTATCTAAGTCTTCTTGTAACGTTGCTTAATCCTGTTGTGAAGTTATTGCCCTGCTTAGCTTTGTATCATCAACAAGCATGGAGTTTCGTTTGAACTATTTATTCCAACCTCTGTGGTGAACAAGTTAAACAGATTTCCAGCTTCACATCTCCAGACCATCCAGAAAATATGCCATTAATCACCACCCTCTGGACATGCTCCTGCAACCAGTTTCCTATCCAGGTAAACTGTCATCAATGCCAAATAACCTTAACTACTTCAGCTCTGAAAGGATTTACCCCCTTCATGACCAGGCCATTTTTTGCTATACTATACTTTAACTGGTAATTGCTTGGTCATGCAACATTGTGCTCAGTTACAGTGCCAGGGAAAAGTATTTATACCCCTTGAAATTTTTCACAATTTGTCATGTTACAACCAAAAACGTAGATGTATTTTATTGGGATTTTATGTGATGAACTAACACAGAGTGGCACATAATTGTGAAGAGGACGGAAAATGATGAATGGTTCTCAATATGTTTTAGCAATAAATATCTGAAAAATGTGGCGTGCCTAACCCTTTACTCTTTAAATGTAGGGCTGAACTGGGTTAAGAGTCCTTCAGATCCAGTCTGCCAAATTAGTTGGGGCTAATATCAATAATACATATAGGATATCACAAAGCAGGTATCCTAGCCTTCTTTAACCACCTCCCGCCCGCCATATAAGGAAATGACGGGTGCAAGGTGGTTCTCTCGTTCTGGGAGGATGTCATATGACATCTTCCCATTCTAACCGCGCATGCGTGGCTCCGGGAGCGTGCAGCGTGGCGATCGGTGGTGCGCTGTGTCCCTCGGACACGGCGGATCACTGATCAATGGAAAGAGCCGAAGATTTCGGCTCGGTCATGTGATCAGCTGTGTCCAATCACAGCTGATCACATGTATATAGGGAAATGCCGGTGATCGGCGTTTTTCTCCTCACGAGCTGTCACGCTGACAGCTCGAGACGACAGGAGAGCCGTAATCGGCATTCTGCGGAGGGGACATGTACACTGATCATCAGGGCACTGATGATCAGTGTAGCCCCAGCAGTGCCACCTATCAGCGTCCATCAATGCCAGCTGTCAGTGCTCAGTGCCACCTGCCAGTGCCCATCAGTGCCACATCAATGCCACATATCAGTGCCTACCAGTGCACATCAATGCCAGATATCAGTGCTCATCTGAGCTGCCTTTCAGTGTCACCTATCAGTGCCAGTCAGTGCCACCCATCAATGCCAGTCAGTGCCACCTATCAGTGCTGCCAATCAGTGCCGCCTATCAGTGCCAGTCATTGTGGCCTATCAGTGCCACCTAACAGTGCTGCCTATCAGTGACACCTAACAGTGCCAGTCAGTACCGCCTATCAGTGACACCTATCAGTACCATATATGAGTACTGCCTTTCAGTGCCCATCAGTGATGCCTGTCAATGCCCATCAGTGCCACCTACCAATGCCTCCTCATCAGTGCCCATCAGTGCCACCTATCAGTGCCCATATCTGCAGCCTCATTAGCTCGTATCAGTGAAGGCAAAAAATCGATTATTTACAAAATTTTATAACAAAATCTAAGAAAACACGTGTTTTTTTTTTCAAAATTTTCAGTTTTTGGTTTGTTTAGCAAAAAATAAAAAACCCAGAGGTGATTAAATACCACCAAAAGAAAGCTCTATGTGTCTCAAAAAATGATAAAAATTTCATATGGGTACAGTGTTACATGACCGCGCAATTGTCATTCAAAGTGCAACAGCACTGAAAGCTGAAAATCCGCCCAAAAGTATCAAATCCAGAACTATTGATTAAGTGAGCACAAGCAACTGTCGTCCTCCAGTCTGGTGGAAAGAAACTAACTGGAGGAAAGTTCAAAACTAATCTCAAAAAGTATTATTTTACTGAAAGAGTAGTTGATGCTTGGAATAAACTTACAGCAGAGGTAGTGAGCCAGCCAACAGTAAATGTGCTTGGGACAAGCACATATCTCTACACAGGCAAAAAAGTTAACAAAAACAAAACAAAAAAGAGTAGACTCAATGGACCACTCTGTCTTTTTTTGTCGTCACTTTTTTGTGTTTCTAAACTTCGTCACTGATGAAAGCCAACATAGAATAGCATGTGTTTTGAGTGGGCCCCACACCTTATGAAACTTTGTAGGACGTCCCCTTGCCTCATACGTTCATTTATAGAGGAACATTGCTTGGTTTTTAAGTTTTTTCCATAACCCAAGGTGTAGGACCAGTGTGGGTCCAGTGCAGAGCAATCGTTTTCCTTGCATAGCAAAACAACAAGCAAAGGAAATGTTTGGTCACTGCAAAGACCTCTTGTTCCTCAAATATACCTAGAAGGCACCATTTGGGACAACATACATGGGGTAAATCAAATGTTTCTGCAATAAATGCTGTAACTTGTGACCAGAAGAGGCAGATTCTATTACAGCTTCCAACCATATGCAAGAAATCTCCCTTCTCGCATTCACCATTTATGATAAGTTGGAGTAGATTTCCCATGCATGTGAAGTAAACGTGTTGGTGTGTAATAAACTCCGTACAAATAAAGTAGCAGGATAAGCCTATCTTTGGCTGAGATAACTGTGCTGGCCTTTGAATTAAATAATTCCTGCCATTTTTCTGCTGGAAAGTCTGGAAAGTCCCCCAACCGCCTATTTTGCATATTAAGTAATAAAAGGAGATAAACCTGTATGATTAGATTGGAGAAGGGTGCGTTCAAGCCGGGTATTACTAAGGGAAACATTACGTAGGCCAAATTGGGCTCCCGCTGCATGACGGAGCTGTGCATAATACAATGACCACTGTAACGGAATATGCAGCTCACGTCAAAGTTGCTCAAAAGACCTCATTGTACCAGCCTCATATAATTGGTATAAATATCATAGTCCTTGTCTTGCCCACTGCAGACCACAGGGAAGTGAGAGGAAATGAGGCAATCTGGGATTATGCTAGAGCAGTGGTCGGCAAGCCGCGGCTCGCGAGCCCCACATGCGGCTCTTTACACGCTTTATTGCGGCTCTTGTGTGCCGGGCGCCCGCTCCCCTCCCTCCTCTCGGGCGGCAGGGGCTCTGCAGCGTGACCCAAAAAAAAAAACAGCCAGGGCAGCGCGCTCAAATGCAATGATTGGCCAGTCTCGCTGCCACTCACATCCTGATAGCCAGTGATTGGCTGTCAGGATATGTGTAGGCGGGGCAGCGTGACGAACGTGAGAGGAGCTAGGCTCCTCTCACAGTCCGCCCTGAAGACCGGAACGGCGCGGGAACACGGCGAGAGGAACGCGCGGAGCAAAGGTAAGTGAATTGACACAGGGGGGACTTGGCTTACTACTTGCTACTTACTTACTACTACTATATGAGGGATGAATTAATATGGGGATGAATTACTATATGGGGGATGAATTACTATAGGGGGGATGATAGGGGGGATGAATTACTATGGGGGATGAATTACTATATGGGGGATGAATTACTATATGGGGGATGAATTACTATGGGGGATGATACTATATGGGGGATGAATTACTATGGGGGATGAATTACTATGGGGGATGAATTACTATATGGGGGATGAATTACTATGGGGGATGAATTACTATATGGGGGATGAATTACTATATGGGGGATGAATTACTATGGGGGATGAATTACTATATGGGGGATGAATTACTATGGGGGATGAATTACTATAAAAACTTATTGAAACTAAAAACAGTGTACCATCCCATGTATTTTCAGTTTTAAAAATGTGGCTCTCAAAATAAATTTCAATCGTGGTTTTGGCGAGATTTGGCTCAGTTGAAAAAAAAGGTTGCCCACCACTGTGCTAGAGGGGTTGATTAGGTGAGCACAAGTGACTGTCTTCCTCCAATATATTTGAACATTGGGTATAGATTCAAAGGAACATATCGATAATAGCCATACCCTTGGTTACTGGTAATGAGCATCTATACAAAAGTTTGGATAAGGTTTCATATGAGGAGACTATAGCAGCCTCTGTACCAGAAGTAGCAGCATTGTTAAGTTGTGAAAATAGCCACCAGTGTATGTAAATGAGTTGGGCTGCAAAATAATGCATTTCAGATCCAGTCTTGGTGGTCAGCTTGATAAATATATGTGGCTTCTGTAACAGCGTATACCCAGAGACTGACGCAAGCCTCCATTTTGTTAAGTGTTCTCCATGTCCCCCCCCCCCCTCATTCTCCCCCTTCCTCTCTGTTCAGCCACAGTGACATCTGGTTGTGGGTCACTGGCAGGCTAGAGCCAGCAGGGAGCCCAGAGCTATAAAACACCTCTCTGAGGAAGGTGCCTGGCTGTCTGAGCAACCTGTGCCATTTAACACCTCGTATAAGATAAGGCAAGCTTTCCCAGGAGTTCAAAGAACATTCCAAGGAAACACGACCAGGTAACCTTTGTTAAAATCCATTTTTCCCCTATGTCTTGGAATATGAGAGATTTACATAAAAAACTGACATATCGTCAGATTAGCTAAGAGGAGGCAAACATTTTGGTAGGTCACTCGCCTTGTCTCGAATACCTAGGAAAGCCGAAAAGTAGATCTTGTGAACCGCTCAGTGTATAATTTCATAATTCATATCTAATCAATCCTCAGACGTGTCTGCATAATAATCTACCCACGGGTGGAATGTCACTTGTGCAGATGGAAAGTTATGGGCCAAAATATGAGTTAGGAGAGATTTTGGCTCTAGTTGAGGTATCCGCCCAGACCTCCACAACCTAAATGGGGTATTGGTCCTTGACTTCAGAGACACCCCCTGCTGGGGAACTACAAAATGGGCTGTCAGGCCTAACAGGAAAAAGTTGAAGACGTCTCCCTTTTTAACATCAGTACCACCTGTGGAGACCCGTGCCCTTTCGCTCTGAAACTTGGATCTGCTAACCCAGGACTTTGGCAAGTACCTTAACCCTTTCAACTCTCTCTGATATCGCTGTGCTGTTGGTCTCTGTATATTTATATATATATATATATATATATATATATATATATACAGTTGCAAGAAAAAGTATTGAACCCCTTGGGATTACGTGGAGTTTTTGCATGAATTGGGCATAAAATGTGCTCTAAATCATCTAAGTCACAACAATAGAAGAACACAGTCTGCTGAACATAATACTACACAAACGATGTTGCCATGGTTTAATTGTAACATAAACATTCACAGTGCAGGGAGGAAAAAGTATTGAGTCCCTCTTAATGACTTCTCCCAAGCTAATTGTCAGGAGTGAGCCAACCTTGACTAATCAGTGTGATGATATTGGATGTGTTGCTGACAGCTGTCCTGCCCTTAAAAAACACACACCTGTTTTGGGTTTATTGGTTTCAAGAAGCACTGTCTGATGTGAACCCATGCCTCGCAGAAAAGAGCTCTCAGAAGACCTAGATCAAGATTGTTGACTTGCATGAAGCTGGAAAGGGTTACAAAAGTATCTCCAAAAGGCTTGATGTTCATGTGTCCACGGTAAGACAGACGGTCTACAAATGGAGAAAGTTTAGCACTGTTGCTACTCTCCCTAGGCGTGGTCGTCCTGTAAAAATGACTGCAAGAGCACAGCGCAGAATGCTGCATGAGGTAAAGAAGAATCCCAGAGTGTCAGCTAAAGACCTACAGAAATTCTGGCACATGTAACATTTTTGTTGACACATCTACAATAAGGAAAACATTAAACAAGAATGGAGTACATGGGAGGACACCACGGAGGAAGCCATTGCTGTCCAAAAAGAAGATTGCAGCACGTTTGAAGTTTGCAAAAGAGCACCTGGATGTTCCACAGCACTACTGGCAAAATATACTGTGGACAGATGACACCAAGATTGAGTTGTTTGGGAAGAACACACAACACTGTGTGGTGAAAAAAAGGCCCAGCACACACCAACATCAAAACCTCATCCCCACTGTGAAACATGGCGGAGGGAGTACATCATCATGGTTTGGGGCTGCTTTGCTGCCTCAGGGCCTGGACGGATTGTTGTCATTGATGGGAAAATGAATTCCAGAGTTTATCAAGACATTTTGCAGGAAAACGTACGACCATCTGTCCGCCAACTGAAGCCCCGCAGAGGATGGGTGATGCAACAGGACAATGACCCAAAGCATACAAGTCATTCAACAAAACAATGGCTGCAACAGCACAGAATATACGCCTTTTGGAGTGGCCCAGTCAGAGTCCTGACCTCAACCCGATTGAAATGCTGTGGCATGACCTTAAGAGAGCGATTCACACCAGACATCCCAAGAATATTGCTACACTGAAACAGTTTTGTGAAGAGGAGTGGTCCAAAATGACTCCAGATCGTTGTGCAGGTCTGATCTGCAACTACAGGAAACGTTTGGTTGAGGTTATTGCTGCCAAAGGAGGGTCAACCAGTTATTAAGTCCAAAGGTTCACATACTTTTTCCTCCCTGCACTGTGAATGTTTACATGTTAT